TGTTTCCAGACAGACTTTGCATGGCGTCTGATTCATTAGCACATTAGCAACCTCAACTGGCCCAGGCGCTGATTGTTGCAGTCAGGCAACTGTTCCTGACTTCGGAAGCATTGATCGATCGTGATACAAGAGTCCGAGTCCAAGTCCAAGTCCAGGTCCAAGTCCGACGGCGCAGACAACCCAACCCATCGACCTTGATTGACCTGCGTTGACGAAGCGCAAACATCCAGCGTTGATTTACTGTGGTAGTGGTCCGAGCGTCTCTAGTCAGGAACGGCGGGCGCCACTTGCCAGGTACAAACAATCATTGATTGGCCAGTAGTTTTAGAGATTTTGGAGGTTTTGGAGAAGGTGCGTATCCTAGCACCATTCGCGGAAATTACAACTTAGCGGTTGCCAGGGGCCCCGGAAACGCGAATCTTCATTCGCTGGGTAAATCGTTCCATCTCCGCTCCTCGTCATTTTATCTTTCGAGGGTACCAAAATAGCTAGCCAATACTGGGGGCCATCCGAGGTACCGTCGTAACGTCGCTCAACTGAAGTAGAAGTAGCCCCTGCACCTGCCTCTCTGTGTTGAATCCATCAATTGCTGCTGCTGACCACAGCTGGCAGTCCTATGCTGCAACGACCGACGTGTCGGGCGCAAAGCTTCTATTGAGTGGATTAATAGACGATCAGTATCTATAATGCATCGCATTGGGTAGAGCACGACAACGCTCGGTGGGCTCTCGTCACCAATTTGCCAATGGCTGACACACCGGTCCACCCAAGGTAATTTTGTGTTTGTTTCCATCGTCATGAGATGAACTTTATGCGGCTCATCCGATGTTCTGGTTGCACGTTGGGCATGACCCTTCACGAGAAGCTGAGTGCTGATTGGTTGCAATTCAAGGATGTGCCACCCTACATCACATTCTCAGGGGACGATCAGCATTTAAGACAGCTGGGTTGCGGTGCACAGGCCAGCTGCGGGGCTGCTGACCCACCAGATTGACCGAGGCTGCTACTGATCCTTATTATCCTCATCAAACTCACCAACATGCCAGAACATCGCGTCAGAACGTGGCATGGTTACGTTCCAGATACAGTCGAGATGGCACCATCTCGCTGACACTTTGTCATGATTCCTGGAAAGCTGATAAGATGATTTACAGGGCTAGTTGAGCACTGCTTTCTCCGGGGTGAGATTTCAGCCGTGAGCCCGTGGCCCTTCAACTGCTGCACGCCGCGCGGTGCGGTCGCTCGGCTTCAAGACACCTCCAAACTGACACCGGTAGAAGTGCAAAGTACCGGGGTGTGGGAAGGCAAAATCAGTGTTCACAAGGCCGTCGAGTCTGCGTTTGCCAAAATTACACGTCCAATTGCGTTACCGAGGCTCTTACCAACCATTCCAACTAGGGTTTTTCGTATACCACTCACTTATCATCGTAAAAGCAAGTGCGATGCACCCGTGGCGGGAAACCCAGCGTCACTGATACATTCCGTTTCTAGTCATTCTCCGAAAACGGCTGGGAGAACGTGTGCAATTCCAACATCGAGGTCTTATCTATTCTCATGTACAGAGTATCCCCTATGTCAACTCGAGTATGGCTAGTATGTCCATGTCTATCGCTGGTGACATCGAAGCCGTGGCCGAGGCACTGCGTTGATTGAGATGAACTCCGCATGCAAAGAACTTCCGCTCTTGCGTCGAGCAGTCGTGCTACCTCCTATCAACGATCGCAATAACCCTAGACTCCTCCTATCAGGACCTAAGGCTATGTTAAGTATACACGGACTAGCCTGTTATCGGAATCATTGACATGTCTGAACCGTGCTCGCTTACAACTGCAAAAGTAGATCCACTCGACTAGACTTTCACGACATCTCCTAACACCCCTTTGCGCCTCCTTGTTCTGTCAATACGCATACTTCTCGATGCCTGGATGCCTATGCTCTTCGAAGGCATAGTCCGGTGATTTGTACCACAACTGACGTCTCCTTATCCCGAAGCTGGGAATTCACTATGTGACCCCTTCTTAGGGCTTTGTTCATCACCGCTACGAGGCTCTGTTCTTCCGACCACGATGTACTCCGAGGTAATTGAGGAGATGTTCTTCAAAGATCTGTTGGGTCAGTTCTTGGCTAATGTCTTTCTCGTAATGCGTTGAAGTAAAAAGTTCCTTTGTTCTCTCTCAAAGTCGCCCATGCATGGTAAGGGGGGAGCCCTAAGAGATTAGGAGCAATCGCCAACCGTGTAGGATATAGTATGTAGTCAAGTCTGCTGGGATCACGGATATACTCAAATCAACAGACTGAAATCTAGTTCAAGACATTACCTTCAAAATTAGAGATACTACTTTACTGTCACTTCTCGTCAGGAAGACTACATGTGGTGGATTACTGCCGTTTGGTGAAATGAAGAACGAATAACCACAGGAAGATCAGACTAAGTTGTGTTCGTTGCTTGTCCAAAAACCCTCCTTTTGCTGAATTTTCGACGCCAGCCCAAGTATGATAAAGCACAGCAGGTGAACATCCGTGCCACTGATGATACGACTTGGGGTGAATGATTATTCGATCAAGTTTCAATATAGCTCCTTCCATTGCCCTCGATAACATTCCCATTTATTCCTCCGCACAACACTCGAATTACTCTTTGATATCGCGACAGTCGGCTCTCGTTCTGCAATTCACATTCTCACACGCGTATCGAGATACACGAACACCACAAACAAAACACAATCAGCAACACTCTTCTCACAACACGTCCGTCCGACTTCATCATCCACCTATGATGGGAGGCTGCCAACATCACGGCCCCAGCTGTCCCAATGGAGCGACGTGCCCCGAGCCGCCCAGCTCATCGATGGCCGCAGGCGCAGGCCCCGACACAGGCTCAGGATCGTACGCAGACACGGTATCCGACTTGGGTACAGTCTCGAGCCTCGGTAAGGCCATGGGCTTAGCGGGCAAGGGTTCAAGCACAGGTGATGGTTCGAGCCAAGGGGTGGGCGAGCGGGCGAGCTCAGGCCCTGATGTCGGTCCTCGACCCGATAATGCTGCGAGCAAGTATCTCGGCGCGGGTGCGCGTTAAGGTGGACGCGTCTGGACGCGTGACTAGGGTCACCTACAGGTGGAGGACAGGAGGTACGCTTGACAAAGGATCACACTTCAGTTCAGGATCATACTCCAGTAAAGGATCAGGCTTTGTTTCAGGATCAGGCTTCGTCTTGGGATCAAATTCAGGTTTCTGGTCAGTAGTTGGTTCTACGAACAACATCATTCAGGTACATCATTGAGCTCATGCTGTGGTTTGAGCATAGGCTCAGATATGATTGGCGAAAGCAGCTTCGAATACAGACAATTGCCGTATCTTTCGTCGGTTCTTTTCGATCATTCTTCAAGCTGATTGCACTTGCTGTTTAATATATTCCTTGAATGATCATATTCAAGGGCGCTCTTGCCAGGGCTTGCGTTCTTGCTGGTTCTCGCGTTTCATTCGAAGTTCTCGCCTTGTAGGTGGTTGCTAATGTGGAAAGGTTGCCTATCCCATTACGAATTCTCTCGCATATTATTCTGCCCAAATACTGCCCACCTCCTCATAAAATCTCATGGCAGCTTTAGAGAACAGGGCGAGTGTGTCTAAAAGGATACGGCCATAGCGAAAGCCAGACCTCTACGAGCTCGCCCCGCTCCTCTTCGGAACTCACGAAAGGTATCAACTCCCATCTGCACACTCTTACAGCCTCGTTCCCAACCCAGACTCTAAGCCTTCTTTACCAACACTCACTTGTATATAGTACGCCGTTGCTTATCGTTCGTGGCAGCTTGAGTGCTATTTGCGGTGTTTTCTCCTGTCCTACATCTTTGAATGCTGGCCATTTCGTGCTGGCCATTTCATGCTGGCCATTTCATTGCTTGCCCGCCTCAAAGCCTCGCCAATGGTCAAATGGCGACCAGGCCTGGAGTCGCCCGTCACTATTGTATTCTCGAATCGACTTCGAAAGCTCTATTCGAAGATGTGGAACCAGGCTTCGAATCCCGAAGAGCTCAATGCTTCCGTACTTCATAACGTGGAATCAAGGCTTCCGTTTGCTCCGCTGTTACGGAACTCCTGATGGCTCCCTCTAGGCATTCACTCAGAGATAGCATTGGAGGTTTTGAGGGCGAAGGCGACATAGTTTCACCCGTAGACGAGATTATCATAGTAGAACGACATATCTTCAATGATATCTTTATCATCCCACAGAGATAGTTTTCCCCAGAGTCCTATAGAGCCTTGATAACTTGTATGTCGGCCTAGTCTGGTAGGACAGTTGCTTTGTCGCAGCCGGTTTTTGTTCCCTTTGCACTTGTCCTTTGCTAAGATATAAGGAGGCTCTGTGAATATCATGCACAAAAACGTAGCGGCATCGTTATCAATGGATTAATACTCCACGGGTAATAAAGATTCAGGGTGAGATGGTAGTTACCATCAACTTTGATGCCTATGGCTCTTGGTGTTGGTTGTCCACGCTGCGAGGCTTTAGCCTCGTTGAAGGTTAGATTGCCAGCTTCGCTGAAAAACTGCGGCACAGGTGCAAGAAGACCGCTGGTTAGGATCTTGTCTGTTTTCCAGGCGAACAAGGTATCGTCGAAGGAGCGATTTGTCCTCCATCTTTTGATGATTTCCACTTGTAGCCGAATAAATTCCTCGCGCCCCCTGCCATATTGCGTATCGAGGCGAATGTTGAAGATTCCGAACATACAATAGGCCAGATCTTCCCGACGCTCTGAGTTGCGGGACGCCAACCAACTTATGTTCTGCCCCAGGCTGGCAGTCTTGAAGGCTCCGGGAGAGCGGGGAAATTCCCCTGCACTCCACGTTGATGGGTTGGGCGAGACAGTGATGTGGTGAGTAAGTTCCTGCCTAAAGTTTGTAGCCTTGAGCGTTTGATGGCCTGTGTGGGTCCTCGCATCAGTTGGCTAGCTTGGCTATCTGGTCATAAGTTATTTTATGGAACTAACTTGCAACAAAGCCCAGATTGGTGTAATGGTAGCACATTTCGGAGTCACCAGGAAAGCCTACTGCGCGGAACTGGCCCTTCGGGGGCGGAAGAATCCAGGTTCGAGTCCTGGATCTGGGACAACTCTTCTTTTGCTCTTTTGCCCATCCTCCTTGATATTTCTACCTTCTTCAATCAACACCCCCCCATCCATCCCCTTTCCCCTTTTCTTTTGGCCCACGTTCTCAAGACTCGAAGTAGTCCTGCGCTTTACCATTCAGCCTAGTAGGGAGGGAGGGTTGTGCCGACGTTTCGCCACCTAAACGGCGGGCATCCCGTCCTCCTCCATGGCCACGACAGTGAGAACGCAATCCTCGTCACTCCACTCGTCCATGATAGCGTTGCGGACTCCCTCCATGAAGGCACGCTTATTAGCCACAGTCCAACTCATATAGCCAGCATCCCATGTTGTAGACGGACCTGCCTTTAGGTTTGGGATCCTGTGTGGTGGTTGGTGCAGCACAGTATTAAAGGAAGTTACAGTGCAGAAGCTAGGCAGTTCATACCATCTCTCGTACAACCTACAGTTTTACTACTACATACCCTTCCTCCAGTCCCTAGACTCGCGAGTGATATAATATCAGACTAATCCTTGCTCTGGTTCCTAATCGATTGTGGTAAGTCTCTCGGAAACTGACATCGCGACTCAGTGGAACCGTTTCACGGAACATGGAATTGATCGCACCGCTCAACTCGATGACGTCGGGTTTGTCGATAAAGACTGCGTCGATCTAGGTTCATAGTACACGGGGATCCCTCGCTTTGCCTGTCTATCCGGACGTATCGACATGCGCCAGCTATCTTATTGATCAAGGGGGCACTAAGTTCCATATCACCAGTCTGGCCTGGGTCGAAAGCATGAGACTTCATATCCCCGAGTTGCTCCTTGCCGACATTTCCAAACCTTTTGGAAGATAACTTTCCTTCCGAACCCAGCGGTGTGAGAGGATACCATATGGAGGCAAAGCAGAGGTTTCTACCCCTGGATACCAATCCTCGTGGTCACGTGGCCGAAGGTCTTCGTCGGGGTAACTAGAAACTGGACTCTAGGACTAAAGTGTCGACAATTAGGAGTCGCATTTCGTCAAGTCTATGTCGTTTGAGGAGAGAGAGTACAAATGTTTCTGCGGCGATGTGTGGGGTGGGATGGTCGACGATTAAGTATGACGCCGCTGCGTCCCACCTTCAATGAAAGGCCTGCTGCCATGTTATAATCAACGATTGGACCACAACTTGAAAGCGGTATTTGAAATCAAACTTGACGTCAACTGTGCTAAAGCGTTTGTGTTGTAATACGAGACGTTGTTCTTGGCAACAACAGCACTGCCACTTGTGATCGTTATTTTGGTGCGAGCGAAATTTGCAGCAACGACGTCCAATCAATCCCGTGTCATTGAGATCGACTACCCAGCTGTGTGGCATGCATGATTTTGTAGTGACCCTTTGAAGCGAGCTTACTTTACCGAAACCCGGTTTGCCCATGCTCTGGCCCATGTGATCAGCTTGACCGGGCTGTGCCTGATGCGTGCCCCGAAATATTGTTTACATCTAAGTATGTACCGCAGTCTTTATCGGCAAATTCAGGCGGGTGATTAAGCTTGTCAAGGTACAATATTTCACGAACTCACAAACACAATTGATTAGGTAGAGATGGTATAGGCACCCAGGGTGCTTCAGCAGCTAGGCTAAGTCACATCCTGGGCCTTTATGATTCCAGAACGATCTTCAAACCCGTTTACAGGGGAGGGGGTATCGAGGACTCTTACCTTACGTCAGATTTTACGGTGCGCTTTTTCACCGTCATTGCTTGCTGGAACAGAGTGCATGCTCGAGCTGGGGGGCCCCTTAAACATTCGGAACGAAGCGACACTCACTGCAGGTAACTACGGACTTGTTTTAATTACATCCTAAACTTTCTGCAACTACAGCACTCTTCAGTCTAGGTTTTAGTGGCAGAGGCTCAGTGATTATAGCAAATTAGACTTCTAAACCCGTGTGTCCCAAAAGCTTTTTGGCTGAACCTCGAGGTCTCGAGGCTGGGGCTCTCATTCAGCAAGGGCAGCAGCTAGTGGATACTTGTTTTATAGAGATCTGTGTTTTGCAAATCAAGACGGTCGTTGCTGGATCAATTTGTGGAAGGACTACGACGCATTTCGCATATATCACAGCAGAAAAAGAATCAATACAAATGCGGCACAATACAGGAATTTACTTAAGGGCTGGGACAGCCACTCATGGATCTTGGGGTGGCCTGATCATTCATTCTGAACTTGCTACGCACCTTATGGGGTCAAAGTAATTATATTAGAAAGCTGAGGTATTCGCTGTCTAATAAAGATGAAGCGGAGAGGGCTTAAGGCCTAGCTCCTTATCTATACGTTGCTTATCTACGACGTAACCATAGTCACGTGATCTCAATCTATAAGTCACCTAATAGGTCTGGTATCAGAACTCGAGATAATTAGGAACGCTGCGAGGACTTTTCGGAGATTTGTATAGAGGTCTCGAGGAAAAATCTTGCAAGGTCTTTGTACTTCAAGAAATTTCGCGATATAGTAAAATGAAAGTGTTGCGGGGATTTACCAGTAGAAAGTGACTGAGGTAGATGTAGAGTCGGATTTACAATGAGGAGCAAGACAGCGGTCAATCCCGATTCTAGAATGGGTTTTGGCAACAATATCCCCACCCGGCATCAGTGGTTTAGTGGTAAAATCCATCGTTGCCATCGATGGGCCCCGTGGTAAATACATCTGCCAATGAAAGATAACTTTCATGAGCTAACAACTTTCAAAGTTCGATTCACGGCTGATGCATGTCTTTTTGCTAGTTCATTGCTACTTCGATACACGAAGTATAGGGGCAGATCTTTTTTTAACTGTGCTTTATGCGCTGCAATTTTGCCTTGGGGTCACATTGTCACGTCGCAAAGAGGTGCCATTTTGAAAACGTATAAACTTTTGATTATAGTGCTTATCGAAACCGCAATAAGTGGTATAGTAATCGGTGTTTTTTGTTAGTTGTGATCGTTATACTAGTAGATGACAGTATTATGCAAGGCCATGACCGTTGCATGGTACTTGATTTTCTTGTCCAGCTCCTTGAGTTACCTCAAGTGAGTCGTCTTCGGATCTTCGTGGCAACAAGTGTCCTGTTGATTGCTTGCTCGCTCTGGAAGTGTTTCGGTATGTTTACACCGTTGATCATCATTCCCATAAAAACAAGCTCCCGTTGCAGTCCTCCTCTGTTATGAAGAGTTACTCCTTATTTTCCAATCATCCTTCATGTGCAACAGGCGATTGATAGGGATGTGTGAATGTTGTATGTTTATGATACCGGCCAAACTGAATAACGTGGTACACAGGATAACGAAGTGTTGGGGGTCAGTCATTATGGGGTATCGACATATATATTGCGAATCAGAGCTATTATATAAGCCGACCCTAGGCCACGTTGGGACTATGTACAATTTATCAGCCACTTTGGCGCCTATACTGTCACTCTTGCCACGGACTGTAGATGACAGGCTCGAACCAATTTGCTGACCTTGGCTACTACGATTTCGCACATACGCGACTGTTCTCTAAACTTCCACGCGAGGTACTAGGAGTGCCTGGCTCGTATGATCGACGCGACCAGCTACTGTGCTTTCTCACGTTAATCATTGGGGCCAAGCATGATCATCCTCATCGTTGCCTTGGTCGTTCGTACTGCCATTGCACTGGCTCATGCCTGCCATATTGCTCAGGTACATCATAGCCATCATGGGATTGAACATTGGCATCGCGCCCACGCCATGCATTGCCATGGTGGGGTTGGAGCTGCCGCTGAAGCTGTTCGGGTTCTACCCGGAACCACTTTGGTGCGGCCACTGACCTGGCTGTTGACCACTGTTGTTATGTCCCTGATACTGGTTCTGCGGTGGAGAGTAGAACGCAGGATTGTAGGGCAGCCCACCTTGAGGCTGTTGCTGGAACTGCGGAGGAGGAGGCGGCACGAAGTTTGCTGGTACATTCTGGGGCCAGGATGGGAAAGGGAACTGTGGGTTGGGCATCGGGGGTTGTTGTCCGCCAGAAGCACCGTAGAATTGCGGAGGCGGCGGTACTGGGTATCCATTACCAAATTGCGGAGGCGGGGGAGGAAATGAGTTGTACTGCTGCTGTTGTTGTGGCTGTGGTGTGTATCCTTGTGATCTCGGAGGCTGTGAATGACCAGATCCCCCGCGGTGACTACCTCGATTGCCGCGACTACCTCGATCGTACGGACGGCCCCGACCTCTGCCTCGGGAATCACCTCGTCCTCCTCGATACGAGCCACCACCATTGACGTTATTATCCAGACCATTCGGCGAGCCGTTGGTCACGGTGGTGCTCGGAGTCCCTTGCCCAAAGTTGACAGGTCTAGCTAGAGGGCGGTATGGACCGTCGTCGTCGTCATAATTGAGGCTGACAGGTGTGGGCATCGATGGCGTTTCGTAAGATCCGCCTCGTCCTCCTCGGCCGCTCGTGCCACTTCCACCTCGGGCTCCTCCATGCCGTCCTCTTCGCTTCTCCTTTTGTTCCCTCTTGTAGGCTGCTTCCTTCTCGTCGTCTGAAAACTCCACCTCGTCCATCCCCGCTTCCTCGTCATGCCAGTTGCTGGCATCGGTGCCCTTCGTACCCTGCAGAGGCTCTGTGAACACGAACGAGGCATGTTCAGGGGTATAATAGATTCTGGTGCCTAGAGCGATGTTGAAGGATTTGATTTCTTCCTCGTTGGTGAAGACTGCTGTGTACCGGGGTTCTCGAACAGTCCCAATCAAGTCGGCAAGGGCTGCTACTACCGTTCTACTCCCGTTGAAGAGAACAGACCCCGAATCCAGCACTCTGTACTCGCCAGAGGTGAAGGCCTTGATGACAATGTTATTTTCGACAATATGCTCGACCTCGCCCAGCTCCTCCATCTTCGTCTCGGCGGTGATCGTGACATCAGGCTTGGGGATCACCTCTTCGGGCAACTCATTCTTAGTTCGTAGTTGACCACCAGAAGCCACGCCTTTGCCTTTGCCTTCACCTTCGTCGTCGGACCCAGCCTCCATAAGGATG